TTTCGGGGGGATTTTGGGGGATTTTGGGGAATATTGGGGAGATTTGGGGGGATTTTTGGGGGATTTTTGGGGGGATTTTGGGGTGACTTTAGGGTTATTTTTGGGATGATTTTGGGGTGTTTTTGGGAGATTTTGGGGGTATTTTGGGGTATTTTTGGGCTGATTTTGGGGTATTTTTGGGATATTTTTGGGGTGTTTTTGGGATGATTTTGGGGGTATTTTTGGCATGATTTTGGGGTATTTTTGGGGTGTTTTGGGCACTCACGGGCGGCAGGGACTGCACGATGTCGCTGTGGATTTTGGGGTATTTTTGTGATGATTTTGGGGTATTTTTAGGGTATTTTTGGGATATTTTTGGGATGATTTTGGGATGATTTTTGGGATGATTTTGGGGTATTTTTGGGGTGATTTTGGGGTGATTTTGGGATGATTTTGGGGTATTTTTGTGATGACTTTGGGGTATTTTTGGGCTGATTTTGGGGTATTTTTGGGGTGATTTTGGGGGTATTTTTGGGATGATTTTGGGGTATTTTTGGGGTGATTTTGGGGTGATTTTGGGGTGTTTTGGGCACTCACGGGCGGCAGGGACTGCACGATGTCGCTGTGGATTTTGGGGATATTTTTGGGATATTTTTGGCATGATTTTGGGGTATTTTTTGGGTATTTTGGACACTCACGGGCGGCAGGGACTGCACGATGTCGCTGTGGATTTTGGGATGATTTTGGGGGTATTTTTGGGGTATTTTTGGGATGATTTTGGGATGATTTTTGGGATGATTTTGGGGTATTTTTGGGGTATTTTTGGGATGATTTTGGGCACTCACGGGCGGCAGGGACTGCACGATGTCGCTGTGGATTTTGGGATGATTTTGGGGGTATTTTTGGGCTGATTTTCAGGTATTTTTGGGATGATTTTGGGATGATTTTTGGGATGATTTTGGGGTATTTTTGGGGTATTTTTGGGGTATTTTTGGGGTGTTTTGGGCACTCACGGGCGGCAGGGACTGCACGATGTCGCTGTGGATTTTGGGATGATTTTGGGGTATTTTTGGGGTATTTTTGGGGTGATTTTGGGATATTTTTGGGGTGATTTTGGGGTATTTTTGGGGTGATTTTGGGATATTTTTGGGATGATTTTGGGATGATTTTGGGCACTCACGGGCGGCAGGGACTGCACGATGTCGCTGTGGATTTTGGGGTATTTTTGTGATGATTTTGGGGGTATTTTTGGGATGATTTTGGGGTATTTTTGGGATATTTTTGGGGTGTTTTGGGCACTCACGGGCGGCAGGGACTGCACGATGTCGCTGTGGATTTTGGGATGATTTTGGGGTATTTTTGGGGTGATTTTGGGATATTTTTGGGATATTTTTGGGGTATTTTTGGGATGATTTTGGGATATTTTTGGGGTGTTTTGGGCACTCACGGGCGGCAGGGACTGCACGATGTCGCTGTGGATTTTGGGGTATTTTTGTGATGATTTTGGGGGTATTTTTGGGATATTTTTGGGATATTTTTGGGATGATTTTGGGATGATTTTGGGGTATTTTTGGGGTGATTTTGGGGTGTTTTGGGCACTCACGGGCGGCAGGGACTGCACGATGTCGCTGTGGTAGATGAAGCCGGTGTGGGGCAGCACGGAGGTGGAGGAGAAGCCCGAGAGCGTTCGGCGCTGGGCGCCCAGCAGGAGGATGTTACAGGCGGGCAGCTTGGACAGCGGCGT